CAATTAACTAAACATTGTTTATTTAATATTAATCTATTATTATAATCATCATTATTTCTCTTGTGGCATGGTCCATGGAACACTCTTTGGATTTTTTTAAAGAACAAGGGGGGCAAACACAAAATCATGTGATTGGAAATTGTTATAATATTAAACAATTTAACACACTCCAAATATATAACATGGTTGGTTTGGTTTTCAACATTACCTACTTGTTTCTTATTTTGGACAAAGCAAACATGTTTGGTTTTTGCCTAGCCAAACCATGCATGTTCCATTCTTTCCCAACTCATGTCATAGAAACCCATTCCTAACACAAGTCCTCCTGTCTAGGATTTTTATAAAGAAACATCCCAAAACCTAAAACATTCCCTTCACTACTTTGCCTAAAGATGGCAAGTTTTCACTAATATCCAATTTTTAGGCCCCACATTCCTTTTCCTATTGCTCATTTCCTCTTTATGTTATTGCTAGTTGAATGCTCATCATGTGCAAACAATTTTTGGTAAAGGCAATCATTTAATGGATGCATAGTAAGCCAATTGCAAGTTGGTTGTAAAATTCATGTTTCAACAATTTCCCGCATTCACACAGTCGATGCCGGATTTACATTTAAACCGTTTGATCTTGATTAAACTGCCATTAATATGCAAACCGTTTGATCTCGATTAAACTGCCACTAATATGCAAACCGCGTGAATGTTAGAGATTGTTAACTATTACCGACTGCAAACAAATAAACTGACTTAACATCGATAGAGGATATTATATCAACTAATATTACATTTTATTACCACTTTCCCTCTTGTGGAGGTTATCTTCATTGAAATAATATCCATATAAAAAAAAAAGATAGGTGTTATTGTCATGAAAGGGACCACCAGCAGTGTTACTGGCTGTATGCAGAAGAGACAGATGGGAAATGGGAAACATTGGAGAGAGAATTACCTTTCTCCCAATCACAGCCATTTAAATTGTATCATCAAAGTGTGTGTTGAGTTTGTGCCTGTATAGAAGAACAAAAGCACTTCTGTTCATTTATCATTATCTCGAAGACATAAGAAGGAGAAAAAAAGAGTCACTGTTCTGCTTTCTCTTACAATGTGCACCACTCTCTGAACCAATCAATTTCATTTTGTTTTTTAGTCTATGAGCATATCAGCACATAATTGAACTTCTCTGAAACCCATGATAAATGAAGTCAGAGATTACACGTGGTTTTAGTTTAACCAGTTATTGGGAATGAAAAGGACACATGTGTCAACAGAATTATTAGCAATAGCTAATTATTAGAAATAATTAGCTAATTATTTGGATATAATGCAGTCAAAAAATGATTGTAAGGACCAACTTGACCACTGGTAAAAATGGAAAATGCATTGCATGTAGTCAACTTTATATTTTCTGCAGTTGTAATCTCAACCATACGTCCAAGATCAGATATTTATGATTTGTCCGATCTCCATTTAACAATCGATGTTTACCGTCGACTGCTGCATTGTGACTATGGTCAATCTAAACCGATGGAGTGGTATTGATTTCCCTAACTGCATGGTTGCAGACAAGGCCGTCTTAAGTTGTTTTTGGAGACTCTGTTGGTTAGCTACTGTTTCACCGCGACAAAACAACAATGAGCCATATTTAGTCGAGGTTTAACCATGAGAAATCTATTAAGAGATCCTATTTCACCACAAATTAACGTGAAAAATTTGAGGCCCTATGCTATAGCCCATATTGCACACCAGACGACACTGGTTTCAGAGATTGTGTGCTATAGTTCATCTTGCATACTCTCAAAGACGGCCTAGTTGCAGAAACTATGTGCTATAGCTTATCTTACACGCTCTCAAAGACGGTCCTAATTGCAGAGATTGTGTGCTATAGTCTATCTTGCACACCCTCACAGACAGTCCTAGTTGAAGAGATTGTAAACTATAGCAACCCGGGTCTGAAAGATACATATGTGGAGCAGAACCAATGCCGGTGAACCTAATTAGTAACAGTAACAGCAATGCTAAAAAATAGCAAAATAAAACCGTTGTTCTCTAAAGAATGAACATGAAATGGAAACACATAAGGAATATGGCATCTTGAATGGGAAAGTGTGTGTGTCTAATTCCTTCTTACCTAAGGAATTTAATTTAATAACTTGAAAACAAGACTTCTAGTATCACATGATTATGGCATAAAAGTCCATTGTCATAAATCATAAAGACATTATTTGAAGACAAGTTGGCTAAGTGGAGATCAGGCAGAATTTTTTGAACTACAGCACAAGTTTGGTAAAGAGTGACAAGACAAATCAAGATTTAATTGACATTATAAAAGATTATGCTTCACTAGAAGGTAGAATAGATTCTATGCTCATTACACTGAAACCAGAACTTTTTTTCCCTGTTTGTAGATAGATAGGTGAATGGTTTATGTGGGAATTTGTTCAGGAATGAGGTAACAGTTGTGCCAAATCACACCACCATTCTCTTCCTTTTTTTTTAGGGAATCAAATTACTTTGTTTTGGATAAATAGAGATATGTTGCAGACAATGCATAGCATTATTAAATTATTATTGTTGCACCACTTGGTGCCAAAAGTAGTAAATTACGGGAGCCATGTGCTAGGAATTTTATGGACCAAAACCAGTAAGCATCTTTTGTGACCAAGATAAATCATATCTGTCTGAATGAATAAATCAGTGGTATAGAATTAGACACTGAACGAATTCTATTTAGACATATTTGAATAAACAACTTACTTGCATAGACCTATTTGAATAAACAACTTATTTACGGTTTATGGCAGAAGTGTTTATCATGATGAGCGTTTATGTATAAGTTATTTCTATAACAAAAAATAACATTAAATTTAAATATTTATAAGTTATTTTCATAAGTTATCTTTGACAACGTGTAAAAATAGATTAAAAATAACTTATAAACAACGTGTAAAAATAGATTAAAAATAGCTTATGAACAATGCAATAAAGTTTTGTTTAAATTGATGGAATCAGATGGAAGTGTGAAATAATATTTTATTGTTTGAATTATTTAAAATTGAATGAAACTGAGCGAAATGGAGTGTTATGAATTTCATTTCATTCCATCATTTACTATATACCACACCATATTCTTCTCCTCCAATTTAGACGAAATGAAGAACTTTTTGTTTCGTCTTAAAATTTCTAAATAATTGAATCTTTATGCTACTTCATTCTATTCAGCTTCATTCTATTCAGCTTCATTCCACTCCGTTCATAATGTTCCTTTCATACGTAAAGCACTCAATTTTTTTTTACACGAGTAAAGCACTCAATCTTAAAAACTCAAAAAGCATCTAAAACTTAAAGTAATTAATACTTACTTTAGACATGCTTAATTTTAATGAAGAAAAGAGGGAGGGAAAGGGAGGTGTTTAATTATGTATTAAAAGGAGAGGATTAGAAGAGTTTGAATGAACCAAAAATACCCTTCTAAATTGTTTATTGGAAGAATAAAAAATGATTGAAAATTTTGCTTTCCTCCATTCTCCCATAATATTGGGTCCAAAACCGAGTTAATAAAAATGTAGTTTAAGAAAACTGACCCTCAATCGTATTGCAACGACTCCTAATTCAATTATCTAAATTTAAAATCAATAAAGTTATAAAGGAAGTTTTTTGAGTTTGGACAGTCTTATTGCAATGACTCTTAATTCAATCACCTAATTCTAAATTCGATAAAAATATGTACGAGTAAAAATCAATCGATCCACTGAATCGACAACCCTGACCTATCAGTTCTATGGCTCAAACTCTAATTTCAATTCTATTCATGTTTGACTAGAGTACATTATGCAAGCGTCAATCAACCCTATGGAAATTTGAGTTTCATATCACCATACAGACTTATTTTATCTCCTCAATTATCCACCAACTAGACACTCTTAAAATTTCAAAAGATAATATATTCACTGAAATTTGCATTTTAAATTATCAATACAAATATTAGTGTCTTTAATATAAAAAAATATTTTTTCTTGATTTCTTAATCAGTGTCATAACAAGGCATTGGTTCTAAGGAGATGGTTAGCAGAATCCTATACTTCAATAAAGAGTTATAATGCCAGTTAGACACTTCACAGAAACACCCACAAATTAGGTGGAATCAAAGAATGACTAGCATAAACCAAACCTGTGGTTCGAGATATCTTATATTAAAACAATGAAAATACTTGTGCCAAAAAAGGAGGAAGGAGCAGTAAAAACAGGTCTCAATCAAGATTTACATCAGCATAACACAAATACAAACACATCACACAGATGAATCAGATTCCAAACCATCATGAATGGAGCACTAATGAACAATCAGCATTGCCTTGAAATAAATAAATTTTTCATGTGGCAAGATTCTCAAACTCAAGATGTAAATCATTTTGGTGGGAAAAGATGGCGCTAATATTAACTTTGGAACATATGCAAGATCCCCCCAGCATACATTCCCGCGACATCTAGCTTTAACAGAAACATCTAACACAGGCAAAACGGGTTTACAATGACGAATGTCGTCTTTGATTGCATGCAATATTACAATTTATTGATTACATACGAAATTCCAGACATTTGGGAAAACCAATTATATATGAATTTCTTACTTTATATTGTTACTTACACATCAAGAAAAGTATTGTTGTCCCTTCCTTACAGCAAACCAACCTCTACTTTAAACAGACTACTCAAATTATTGAGATTTCAAGAAAAATCGGTTCCCGGAGCATTCTTCGCATTAGAAAATAGTAACCCAAAAAATTCAGGCTGTTGGTTTTAATAAAGACCAATAAGATAACAACACAGCCAATGTTTCATTGATTCATTAGAAAATGAGGGGGAGGTTGAAATTTTGAGGAGAGGAAAACTCAAGAATAAGGCAACAGAGACAATAACTATTTACAAATTCTTTCGACCTGTTCATTTTCACTGTCCCTCTTCGAAATAAATAAGTGCCAAAAGAAAACAGCATGTGATACCTCATACACGGCTTCGAGTCTTCTGTGTACCAGTTCGGGGAATAGCTAATAAAGCTAAGAGTCCGCTCAAAAGAGCTGCAACTGCTGCCACGGCAAAGGCTGGAGAGTTTCCTCCACCGAATAACTGATCCCATGGTCCACTTCCCAAGGACACTATGATCTGTTTCAAAAATGATAAATGTGTAACTTAGTAACTCCAAAAACCCAAATTCTGCTCAAAACTACAAAATCACCCTTAGATTTAGGTCCTGTATGTAGATTTGTTTTATTCCAATTAATACTACAACATTATAAACACCCCACTTAAGACTAGTAAACGTAAATTTTTAGTATGCTTTCCTGAGTTGGGAGCAGTGTTACCGAATATCGGCCATGACGGCGCTATTGCGGATATATGTGGCGGTTTTTGAGCTCGCCGCAATGGTAAATATTAGCCACTATTGCAGGTTTTCCCGCAATAATCCGCAATGACAGCGCCACCAAGTGCCTGGTATGGCAGGATTGTGGCTCTCCACCATAGACAACACTGTTGGGAGCCAGTTTACACCATACAGACACTCTAGTTGGCAATACTATATGTTGAGATTCTTGCATCTACTATTAACAACTCTTTCTTTTTTAATCTTTATTCTATTACCACGTAAGGTGCCCTATCATCTTCTATCTATTAATAGTTCTTCTGTGTAATAAAATAAAAATGGACAATTTTTTATTATGTTGCAATGAAATTTTGAAAGGAAACAAAAATTTGACCAGATCAAAACAATGAAGTACACAAAATTCCACTTGCACTACAAGTGTGAGAATAGTTGTTGTTCACGGATTATTGAAAAAAGAATAGCCACTGAGAAATTTATCGGGTCGAGTCGCGGATCGGTACGCTTTCTTTAAGACGTTTCGCCGGATGCCAACAAAGTGCAAGGCAGTCGATAATAGGCGACGTCTCCAGGATAAAACAGCCCGTTCGAATAAAATACGATTATCAGTTGCACTGTGATAAATCGTTATATGAATAACACCTTCTGATGGTGTAGAAACCACTCGTAGTATCTGCAAAGAAGCAGTCGAAAAACAGAGTAGAAAAGATTGAGATGAAGCAGAATAGAGAGAGAGAAGAGTGAAAAACGAGATTATGAATACTTGAGTTATTTGCAAATGAAATAATCACTAATTGACTCTTGGAAGGCAAGTAATTGACACGTCACTAATTCCGTAATTAATTAATATTAAATATTAATTAATTTCCACTATTTTTTAATTAATTAATGCTAATTAATTCCACCGAATTAATTAATTATTAATAATCATTAATAATTAATTTTCACCAAAATCCGGTTCAAAAAATTAATTCATCTGGACCGAACCGAACCGAGCCGAGCCGGCCGGTCGGACGGACGGCGGCGGCGGCGCGCGCGTGTGTGTCTAGATGACTTAGTGGTGTGTCCTCACTCCTTAACAAAATTGGGGTGCCCCTTGGGGCCCAACCCAAGTGTCCAAGTTGGAGTATTTATGCACTACTAGAAGTTGTGTTCCCTCCAATGTGGGACTTAAATGAATCCTTTCAAATTCACTCACAAACTAGTTCATTCATGTGCTCATTTATTGCCCATTTAATGTCAATGAATCATTCCAATTCCCAATCCAAGTTGTCATCATTCCAATATTTCCAACAATCCCCCACTTGAATTTAAAAGGTGATTTTAGAGGTAACGTCAGACGTTTCTAAGATTGTGCATAAGCAAAGGTGTCTATGACTTGAACCTTTGCGTAGCAAGTAGGATTCTGATTCAACAAGAGTGACACAATTGTCTTGAACTCTATCTCAGACATCAGACCCGCACACAACCTTTTCTTTAAGGTGTATTCTAATAGCCCGTGCTTTAATGGCCCTGCACGTGTATCCCGGTTTAGTGAAGGCTCTAGGAATTTTGCCTCGCAATTCCATAGGAACCGACCCAAGTTCCACAATCACCAAGGTGAGTCTATCAAGAGTACTCCTGTAGTCTAGGTACTCCCTCATACAGAGTATAGATCTCATTAAGAGTTTCTATTATCTCAACCTCTTATTACTTCAGGAATCATGCTTCTCTTGCATGATCATCTCATATCACTCACAACTTGTTATTACCCATTGAACCTATTTCTTGGGATCTCCAGTCATTTAGGTCGGGTTACCATTGTGAGCAACTCATATTCATATAGGCATTAGTCCCATCTTATATGATGTGTTATAGACTTTCTCTCTAGCTAATCCTTTCGTCAAAGGATCTGCTAAGTTTTCATCAGTGCGTACATGATCCACTCTTACAGCTCCTTTAGAGATACAGTCTCTAATGGTGCTGTGCTTTCTTCTTATTTGACGTCTTTTACCATTATAATAACGGTTCTCAATTTTTGCAATAGCCGCGGTACTATCGCAGTGGATCAACACAGCTGGCATAGGTTTTTCCCATACGGGAATCTCAGCTAGCAAGCATCTTAACCAACTTGCTTCTTCACTAGCTGTGGCTAGTGCTATCATTTCAGACTCCATTGTGGACTGAGCCAGAATGGTCTGTTTCTTTGATTTCCAAGATACAGCTCCTCCGGCTATACTAAATATATAGCCACTAGTAGCTTTGGAATCATCTGACAAAGTATTCCAATCAGCATCACTGTATCCTTCAAGTACAGCAGGAAATCTCTGATAATGTAAACCGAGGTTCACAGTCTTTTTGAGATATCTCATGACTCGCTCAATAGCTTGCCAATGTTCATTACTTGGTCTACTAGTAAACCTGCACAACAATCCCACGACATATGCAATGTCAGGTCTAGTACAGTCAGTAGCATATCTAAGACTTCCAATGATACTTGCATATTCTGTCTGTTTAACACTTTCACCAGTGTTCTTAAACAGTTTCATGCTTGGATCGTATGGAGTGCTAGCAGGTTCACAATCAAAGTAATTATATTTCTTTAAGATCTTTTCCACATAGTGTGATTGATCCAAAGAAATTCCTTGTTTGGATCTAGTGATCTTGATACCGAGGATTAAATTTGCTTCTCCCAGGTCTTTCATATCAAAGTTGTTGCACAACAAAGATTTCACATCATTAATAGTCTGAATGTTTGATCCAAATATAAGTAGATCATCTACATAAAGACATATGATAGTGCAAATGCGATTCTCAGATTTGTAATAAACGCATTTGTCACTTTCATTCACTTTATATCCATTTGATATCATTAAGTTATCAAATTTTTCATGCCATTGCTTAGGGGCTTGTTTTAGTCCATATAGAGACTTGTCTAACTTACAAACCTTGTTTTCTTGTCCATGGATCACAAACCCTTCTGGTTGTTCCATATAGATTTCTTCCTCTAAGTCACCATTTAAAAAAGCTGTTTTAACATCCATTTGGTGTACTATTAAGTTATAAATAGCAGCAATTGAAATAAGTACCCTAATGGATGTGATTCTAGTGACTGGAGAGAAAGTGTCGAAGAAATCTATATTTTCTCTTTGTCTAAAACCCTTAGCTACAAGGCGAGCCTTGTATTTATCAATAGTTCCATCAGGTTTTAGTTTCTTTTTCAGAACCCATTTACAACCGATCGGTTTGCAACCAGGAGGCAAGTCTACTAAGTGCCATGTCTTGTTAGAATCCAGGGATTCTATCTCATCATTTATAGCTTCTTGCCATAAATCTGCATCTAGAGATGACAATGCTGCTTGAAGATTTATTGGATCTTCTTCTATATTATAAGCCGCATAATCAGGCCCATAGTCTTTAGCGACTCTTACTCTTTTACTTCTCCGAAGTTTTGTTTCTACTACGTTGTTGTTTTCTGTACTTCTTATCACAGGAATGTGACTCGATTGGGTGCCCCCACTATTTCTCAGTTTGAAAGGAAATTTGTCTTCATAGAATTCAACATCATTTGATTCTATGATTACTTTTGCATTTAGGTCATAGAACCTATATGCCTTACTGTTTGCTGCATACCCAATGAATACACATTCATATGCTCTACTAGCGAGTTTAACTCGTTTCGGATCCGGAATTCTGACATAAGCCAGGCAGCCCCAAGTTCTCAAATAAGACAAGTTTGGTTGTCTTTTCTTTAATATCTCATATGGTGAGATCTTACTTTTTGACTTGGGGATTCTATTCAGGACGTAGCAAACAGTCAATAAAATTTCCCCCCACCAGTGAGGAGCAGCACCAGAATTTATCATAATTGCAACAACAAGTTCGGTAAGAGTCCTATTCTTTCTTTCTGCTTTACCATTCATTTCAGGAGAATATGGAGCAGTCGTTTCATGTACAATTCCATGTTCTTTATAAAAGTCATTAAATAAACCAGAATCATATTCAGTCCCCCTATCACTACGAAGTCTCTTAATCTTCTTACTAAGTTGATTCTCAATTTCAGTTACATATATCTTAAACATTTCAAGCGCTTCACTTTTATTCTTCATTAAGTATACATAAGTATAATCTGAATAATCATCAATAAAAGTGATAAAATAACGTTTATTGTTTCTAGTTAAACTTCCATCTAATTCGCATATATCAGAATGTATAAGATCTAGGGGATCAGATTCCTTATTTATTGATTTATGCGAAGTCTTGATTATTTTTGCTTGACTACAATATTCACATTTATTTGTATCATTAATACTTAATTTAGGGATTAGGCCCAAGTTGCTTGCATTATGCATAATTCGCTTATTAACGTGACAAAGTCTAGTATGCCAAATATTAAAATCACACAAAGAGTAAACAGAAGGAGAAATCTTATTAAAATCAACATTCAACTTAAACATGCCATCAGTGGCGTACCCTTTCCCAACAAAAATACCATTCTTAGTGATGGTGTACAAATCTGCCCCTAAAGTTTGACTAAACCCTGCCTTATTTAAAAGAAAACCAGAAACAAGATTCTTCCTAATTTCAGGAACGTGCATGACGTCCTTCAAGATCAAAGTCTTTCCTGAGGTGAATTTCAGCTCAACATCCCCAATTCCAGCAACCTTAGTGGTGTGAGCATCTCCCAACAACACTTTCTTATCTTCAGCATTCATGTATGTTTTGAACATAGCACGATCGTAGCAGACGTGACGAGAGGCGCCAGTGTCTATCCACCAACCATCACTTCCACCAACCATGTTGACTTCAGTGATCATAGCAATGAATTGCTCATCAGTCAGGTTAACCTGAGCATTTGAGCCAACAACAGGTTTAGGCCTGCTCTTACACCTTTTTGCCATGTGACCCGGTTTCCCACAATTGTAGCAAGTGAAAACCGGAGCATCATTTCTCTGTGGTGGTGGTTGCTGCCTAGCAATTGGAGCATTTGGGGCCCTAGAGGGATTCCCATTCTTAATTCGGTTCATAGCATTGCGGTTCTGATTCTTTAATGGTTTGCCCGTAGGCTTCAGAACCGCACCGAATTTCTTTTTGTTGTTCGAAACAACTAAGACTTCATCTTTCTGATCTTGTCTTCGAGCTTCCTCTTCAATTCGGAGGCGAGTAATCAAACTTTCAATGGAAAACTCTTTGGTTTTATGGCGAAGCATATTTTTGAAATCTTTCCAAGCAGGGGGCAGTTTGTCAATAATAACAGCAATTTGAAATTGTTCATTCAGAGGCATACCTTCAGTTATGATTTCATGAGCAATTTTCTGAATTTCGTGGCTTTGAGTTTCCACAGACTTTTCGTCCACCATCTTGTAATTCAAGTAGCGGCTGACAGCATATTTCTTTGCACCTGCTTCTTCGGTATCATATTTCTTCTGCAAGGCTTCCCACACTTCTTTAGCAGTGTTGTAATTACTGTAGTAATCGTACAGGTCATCAGCAAGACCGTTCAGGATGTGATTTTTGCATAGGTAGTCATTCTCTTGCCATATGGCAATTTCTTTTCGAAGCTGTAAATCATCTGCTGCGGCTTTGGCTTTTGCAGCAGCTTGTGCTTCAGCAGAGCTGGGAGCTTTGTCAGAAGTTACAATGGTTGCAGCATCAGTTTGTTCGGTTGATCCAGAAGGAACAACAGGGATATCCTCAGTCAGAACGTGGGCAACCTTCTTATAAGTACATGTTCAGGTCATATTTTGTTTGATGTGGGACTCTTAACAATAATCGTCTTTCCTCTCTAATAGATTAGTCCGTGAGCAGTTTTAACCAATTCAGTATTATTGGACAAAGGCCCGAACCAATGTCTTTATATAACTACAATTCAGTGTGGGTTGAGTCTAACTCATCCTTACCAAACCGGCTTGTAATGGAAAGATAGTGCCCACTTATAAACACGTGTTGAGACTATATCCTTTTCAATGTTGAAACCGAGCTTGTAGTCATTAGTTAAGGTTGAAATCAATCGAAACTCATCCCTAATGTTATATCATGAATTCTAAACTATCTTTTTGATTTAATTTTCCTTGTCATTCAAACCAAACTTGTTCCTTGTTTAATTTTTTAATTTGTAAGTTAATCTTTAAGTTTCACATCCGGTACTTAACTGTTTGTACAACTGTAGCTAACTCTGAAAATTAGTTATAGTTAGTATAGGTTAAGATAAGTGAAAGGTCAGGACTTAGGATTGTGGGAAAAAAACACAGAATTAAACCATTAAGCCAAACCAAATTACATTGGAAAAAACCGAACTATGACTGAGAGTTCAGTTTGAAGTGAATTAGTTTGGTTAAGTTCAATTCATTTTGTGCACTATTCATCACAGTTCAATTCTTTTCGGTGCAATTTGGTTTTTTTATTTTTTAAAGTGACATAATATCCAATTTAGTTTGATTTATTATTTTTTTCCTCAAAATGTTTAATTATGAATCAATGGCGATGTATCAAGTAGGAGGGAGGATTAAATACTAATTAGTGGATTAGATAGATGGTCTTGATGAAGTCACGTGCAAGCATAGACAATAAAGGTTCATCAAAACCATCTACTTAATCCAATGGTTAGCATTTAATCCTCTTATCTCTTATTTTAAAAACCCTCCTACTAGATACATCCCCATGAATCAATAATGATAATTTGGTGGTATAGTTCGGTTCACCAGGAATCAGTTCAATTTTTAGTAAAGGTGTTTTTTGTTTGATTCAGAACCACAAAACGGGGCACCAAACTTTTAGATAAGTTTGGTTTAGTTTTACCAAAAACTAAATCAAACGGTTGTGACGATTCATTTCTCCTGCTTGAGCCGAACCATGAATAGTCCTAGTCAGGAGTATCTTTTCAAACTATTCCAATTATAAACATCAATGAAAAAGAAATACGCTATAATATCCAAGAATGTTATAGCATATTCCTTTGTCATTAATGCTCGTAATTGTATTATGCATATATACCAGAATTTCCATGATGCTATTAAGACACAAGGTTTCAGCATATGCATCTCATAATCTTTTACATTCTCTCTAGGTCACCTGATATCAAGTTTTTGCTAACGGGCCACTCAATTCACGCTCTAGATGTCTACCTAGGCATGAAGGGGGTGTTAAGAGTTTCATATTTGATGAAATATGGACTGAACAATGCCTTGTGGCATTTGTTAGTATTTTCCTTTAAATTATACAAGTTGACTGTGTTCAAATATAAATCTAATAAGATTGTACTTCCACTAGGTTTATGCAAACAACAAAATAAGAGTTGTTCAACTCTAACTACATATAACATAAAAGGAATTCAAAAGAAGAAATACCTGCGGGACCACTATTGCCAGATTCAGGACACCCATTGACAACCCTGTAAGTACCAAGAATCCAAATAATTAGTCTTGTAGTCATGTCTACGATAAAGAATAAACAAGGACATTAATAGAAACCCACCTTGGCCAAGTCCCAATGGTTCGATATGTGTGGAAATTAAGGCATATGGGACACTGTAAGTGATCTGCATAAAAGTAAATAACATGAATAAAGTGAAATAAATAAAATAGACTATATGATTTCAACTCATTTTCCATTTCAGGCTTATCGTGTTATACTCATAGAAAAGTTTATCACGAGAATTGAACCCAAAAAGAAAGTTAAAGAAGACAATTCAGTTTGAGTCGAGGAGATTATGCATCCACGTACAAGTTAATTAACATAACTCACATGTATTTGGCCAATATAATTTCTAAAAAGAATTGAACAATAGAATTTGAGATTCTATTTCAATGGGCATAGAGACATAAAAGCTTCCTTTTGTATAGACAGGAAATCAACAATCTACATTTGGCGTAGATCAGAGTAACTTACTGCCAGTGGAAACCCAAGAATTGTAAAGATTGCTAACGCTGCGATCACAATGCCTGTTGGTGGTGGTAGACCTTTTTCTACGTAGCCAATGCTCTTAGCCGCATAGGTTAATACTAACATTGAAATAAAGCAAATAGTCATAGAGATATTTGAGAGTCCCCACAGAAAACCAGCCCCTCGCTTCCTGCATAGTCTTTCCATGAGCAATGATGTTATTCCAAGAACAACTGAATTAAGCAACAAACCAAGTGCGCCCATTCTAACTCCAGAATCATAAACAAGGCCTCCATTTGGATCACCACCATAAATTTCCCGACCCATCCAATCAGTATCAAATAGAGTAAATGGGAACCACCCAACCCATGTTAGAGCAGTTACAGACAGTACTATCCAGATAGGCATTGAAAAATATTTGAATGTCCCAAACAATTCCCACATGAAAGCTTCCTCCGTACCACTTGACTCTCCAGCCCCTTCTCCGGCATGTGCTGCTGCACTTGAACTTAGAGGCACTTCATTAGCCGACACAATGCTGAGATATGTCGTTACCGCAATGAAAGCAATGTCGAGAAAGAAAGCAGACTTGAGATTTGCACAACTGATAGAGCAAGCAGGGGTAATTGTGAAAGTAAAAATCTTGTACCAGCCACTGTATGACCCAGTTGCATAGCCAAGAATGTTACCAACAGCCATAAACAGGGAGAAATAAGCATTTGCAACACGTGTCCTTCGAGCATCATTTCCTAACATTTATAAGAAAATGATTAATAAAAGAAAGAAGAGGGGCATCTATGTTTTTTTTTCAAATTGATCACATTCATTTGCATAATAAGTAAACTTGTATGATCAACATAAAAACAATACATTTAATGTGCTTTAATTTGGATGAGCATTTTAAGTGTCTACAGCACAGTATATAATTATTTTTTCTGGCATTTTGGTTTCCTTTGCTAAGCAATTTAGGTAAGATATGATGAAAATAAACGATAACTACTATAGCCTTTACAAATTCAAGTGTTCAACAGTTAATATCAAAGACATGTAGCTTCAAGCACTCCACCAAGGCCCCCTTGCTCAATGGTCCTTGAAAGCATTGTTTGTTTGTATAACTCCTCCATATAATACCATCTTTTTCAATAAGCTAGAAATAGATTAACATAAAGGATGAACAAAAATCTGGGGGGACATAAACAAAACTCGGGGAAAAAACAAAACAAAACAAGCTAAATGCTAAATAAATTTAAGATTACCCCTAGCCTGAAAGTTTTAATGCTTTGCTTTTAGAGAAAGTTGTATATATTCCCTTAGTTTATACTTTTGTTATCTAGATGTAACCAAAGTAAACTTATCTTAAGTGGTAATATCCTCGGGTGAGATTATGTCATTATCTGAATCGACTTTATTCCCACCTTCCAAAAACTTGACAAGAATTTCCATATCGTGAATAACATTGAGATTTGAATTTTTGGCATCAACAAATACTGAACTCACAAACTTTGTTGCTTCAATTACATTACCTAGATTAACTTTAAGCTCCTCTTGCTCTGGAACAATATGTTCATGACTATCAGGAATAACTTCAGATTTTGTAGAATGGCTGATTTTTTCTTTAAAGAGGAGACTCTTTCATCTACGCTATTTGGAAGATGAGAGCAAGGCACCTCATAAAGTGGTTTTGTCGCAACAGTATAATCATCAGTACCCACGTACCTTTACTAAGATATCTCTACTCTCTAGTATTTTCCAAATGGTCAAAGAAAGAATTAAAGGTACGAGTTTTGTGGTGAAATTTTAGTACTTGATCTGGTAGCGGATGCATTATATTTACTCTCTTCAGAGATCTTCTCAGGAATATTTCTAGGGACATCATTTTGAGTGTCACAATTTTGTGCATCACCCAAATTAACATTAGCAAGAAGGAAGGTTTGTTCTCCACTATCCTTGACCCTCCATTGCTGTGTCGGCTCAAAGACATTATTTTCTTTGCCCTTGGAAGGCTTAGGCACTTTTGCAGAGATAACCTTATTACAGTTTGCGGCAGAGATAACCCTCCACGGCAGATTCCGGCTATAGTAACGACAATGCAATGAAGTCGAAATACAGATACACGTTCTACTGGCTGGCGGGAGATGAAACCTGAAAGCGGAAAACGCAGAAAGGCTGAAAAGACTATGAGAGCGACACAGGGTAGTGGAATGTGCTTCCCTTGACAATTGTACCTTCCCTACTTCCATAACACCTTTCTTTGAAAACTATATCATAGAACAAAATACTAAAGTGGGTTTCGAGAAAATGGGCTTTGACAGATTGTTTAACTTGCTCACACTAGCAATGAGTTGAGTTAGGCTCATGGCTGTAAATAGGTGTCCAGCTTGCATCAATTCATCTAGACCCATGCAAGAAATATTTACCCCTTTCATTCTCTTCCACTGTCGTTTTATGTCTTCACAAGTCAGAATCCATGGCTTCCAGCAGGAACGCTTGATCCCATAACTCATGCAAATATTCATAGACCGGCAATTTCAGTTCTGTCTGGATTTCTCCCCCTACACACAACCACCTTGCCGCTCCACAAAGGTCTGAAGGGTTATACCAGAATTTCGTGCCTCTGACATCATATAACAGAGGTTAATTCCTCCATTCGTCAGAATATAACCCCCAAGTATGGCTTCCATAGCTCTCATCCTCCACAAACCTCACCACAGTTCATCAACGTCAAGGCCGACCTCGAGTGCAAGTTCGAGCTTTCCCTTGCAAAATCTACATAGCCAATTTGAGTTCTCAATTCCTGAACCCGAAGTCTTAACTAAGGACTCCATCAATCACTCTCATATTCATCATTCAAGCTCCTAAGGTTGAGAGCTTTGTTACCAATTGATAGGTGCCAGAAAATATAGAAGAAATAAAAACAACGATCGAGCAGATTCGAAAGTGCCCAATACTATCCCAAGCCTTAACTAATTCTAACTACTCTACTCTTTACCCTTTTTGCTTATATATCTCTATATGTCACAAATCGTAAATCTGCTTTTCCCTGATCTCACTACTACCATCTAGGCAATCAGTAAGAACATCCCCGACTAATTCTGACCAGGAACGTGATGCACCGCACCTCCTTGAATCAACAAGTACTCCATTCTTTTGGACCTTTTCATAAACTTCTAATTCTGGGTCAGAATTCCTTGAAGCAAATAATTGTATGATTTTTTTTTAGAGTTTAATGGATATACACTGACGGCAGTAGTCCAATAAAAAACTATCACTTCGCCGTGTCATATTAGTATTTTAATGATTTGGTGGAATACGCGTGGCTTATTCATTCAAGTGCACATTCCATTTTCCCTTTTCTTAAACAATAAAATGTCAATAATATTTTCATTATTTCATAACTAGCAATTCATCTTTTTACAAGGCCATAGCTAAAGTAAAAAAAAAAACATGTGGTACTCCACACCGTGGTCCAAAATTTCAAAACAAACACTCAACAACTCTTGCAAATGTTTGCCTGGAATTATTATTTATTTATTAGGCGAAATATTCTGGTCCTATAGTTTGGTTGGCCATAAACGATAATTTAATGATAATGTAACATCACCTTTTTTATATTCACTTATTTCAAAAATAATTTAATATTTTAAATTAACTTTAATTACATGACACCAATACCCAACAAAATCCAATAGTAAAAAAATTTCCTTTTAATTTTCGCTAATAAATCTCAGAAAACAAAGTATGGTAAATTCAGGTCATCAATAATTCGTCATATAAAGCAAAAAAAATTGAAAGGAAACAAATATCAGAGTCATCAAAGTCAACAAATCAACCACTACAGTAGAAACCATGCGTTTCTTCGATCTTCGTTGATTTGACATAAAATTTATAATCACCGACTTTACCAAATAAAGCATCACGAACAAATTCAAAATCAAATTAGGGATCAGAGAAAAAAAGCACTTACTGGTAAGATCAGCGAGCAAAGCTCTACAAGGACCTTGCGTAACATTATTAGCCACATCAAGAATCCAAAACCCGAACACGAAAACACCAATCGCAAACGGCCGATAACTCTGGCTAACATCATCTCCAATCAACCAGCCAATATCCGCCGCGTAACCGATTATAACAACCGCGACGACGATCGACGTTGCGCCGGCTAAAATAAACGGCCTACGTCGCCCGAACCGGCTCGTGCACCGGTCGCTTAGAACTCCAACCAAAGGCTGGACAAATAGACCGGAGACCGGTCCGCAGAGCCAGATGATGCTCGCCCATTGATGAGGAATGCCGAGCTGTTGAACGTAGGGGGTTAATAGGGAGAGCTGTAGAGCCCAACCGAATTGAATTCCGCTTGCTACGGAAGCTATTCGGAGTAACTTCCGTAACGGAATTCGTGGTTGGACCGGTTGTGGACGGGTTGTTGAGGTTGACGGTCGGGTTCTGGACCGGTGTTGGTTTATTTCGTGGCTCGGCATCGGTTGAGAAGCGGTTTGGGGGAGGTGTGATTGGAGAAAGGGGGTGAGGAAGTAAAGGTAGTGGTTGTGTGTGGTGTGAGGAAGAAAGGAAGTGAAGTTTGATGATTCTGTTTTGAGTTGAGAAGTTTTGATGCTATAATTGAACTTGCTTAAGGATTTATTTACGATATTGTCCTTTGAAATTGGTAAGAAAATTTATTGAAGTAAATTTAACACGTTTTTTTTCATAAAAACGACAAGTTTTGTTTTTTATAAGCAACTTTTGTTTTAATTAGGAATGGAGATTAATTACTATGCACAATTAAAAAAATTTATTCGATCACCCACTGTATTATTTAATAAAAACAGCTTTCTTTTTTATATATCTTTATGAAATCAGAATAATATCCAAGAACAATAAATACTGTATTAAAATTTTCATAAAGATATTCAATCTTGTAAGATTTACACTTTGTATCAAATATTATAAATATAGATTAAAAATTGCAATTTTGATCTTTTTATTGTTTTTTTATATTTTATTCCTTTCATTTTGAAAATTGATTTTTTATATTTTCTTTATTTTGTTTATTTGGAGATTTTAGTCCTCTTTGAAATATGTGAGTATTTTTAATGACATGGTAGTGATAATAGTAAATCATAATAATAATGTTTTAGTTTTGACTCTTTAGGTATTACTCTCTCCGTTGTACTTTTATCTTTGTATGTTCGCTTATTGTGTTTCATATTCTTATGTTTTTAGTATTTTATTGTTTGAAGAAGTTTAGGTAAAATATTTATATTTTTAAGCTCATAATTTGTCTTGTTACGGTTCTTCTTTGGACGTCAATAGCTCTCCTCAATTGGAGAGTTGATTGGCTCAATTTTATCTATTAGTCATAATTATGGATCATTTTTTGATAGGATGATATGAAGGGGGACTAAAATCTTCAAAATAATAAAATAGAGGGACTACAAAAACCAATTTTTAAAATAGGGGGAGCAAATTCAAAAAAAAAAAATAATAGAAGAACTAAAGTTCCAATTAAGCCATAAACATATAATAATTTTAATTTTAATTTTGACTCATCTATTTTACCTTATATACGAAATCAATCTCTTTACTTCAAAATCAAATATTTTTTATACTTTTGTCACATTTTTGTACTTAAAATTGATTATGTCTTACATATTTGCATTTTGCTTTATACAGGGATTGATTTCGCCAACGTTTCAAATTACATTGTACTTGTCAAAAAGTATAAAAGTCTGCATTTTCATTTTTGAATCTTTCATAATTGAAACACCGATTCTCCACATTTGTCTTAAAATGGTCATTCCACAATTTTTTAAAATGATGCTCAAAAGTAAAGAAAGACGATTAAATGTCATAATTTCCAAATGTAACTTTAAATAAAATCAACTTTAAAGACAAAATTATTTTATTTTATAAAAATCAAACATATTAAAATCAATTATAATTTTTAAAATTATTTTTAACTTTTAAAAAATAAAATCAAATGCAAACTGAATTTTAGATATAAGTGTTCGGTTCTAGAGTCAAAATTGGATGCAGTTGATGAATTGGTGCTCTTGAATCGGTGGTGTTAATCTCTGTTACAGCGAGACGAATAGACCTGTAAGATTGGCACTCTAACACCCAAGTTAGTATAAGATTCAAGATGAGTATAGTAAAAAGTAGAGATTAGAGAATGTACCATGTTTTCCATGTGTTTCCAGTGATTTCTGGTAAACAATCGCTAGTCTTCCAAACTATCGAATAAACTTTATTAACGCTACTCAATCTCTTTGGTAACTCACAGGATCGACTAGATTGATCCTAGGACTCCTTGGATATCAAGGTTACTCTCACAATCGAACAATTATTCATGGGTGCCATTGTACAAATGTTTGGTTTACTTCGATCCCTCTCTCTAAGAGTTTAAAATATGGTCAAAATGTATGTGAAAACTAAGTTATACGAATGATTGCTAATTGTAATGCTGATTGAAAAGACATATAAAACTGTATGGAAAATGAAGTAACTGGTTTCGATCCATAAAACATTTAACACAAAAAGTTTCTGGAATGTGGAAGTTTAAAATGTGAAGAAAGCGTTTAATGCAAGAAATCTAGAAATGAGTTTAAGTGAAAGTACATGTTTGAAGAATAATACTTGAAAGTAAAGACATTGAAAGCGTAAAAGTTTTCTGAAATATAGAGTGCTTCGAAATATAAAGAAAGCAGTAAAATGTAAAACTTTAAAGAAAAGGCTTTGAAATGAAAAGACAGTAGATAAAGAAACTTGCAAATGTTATTCGACAGAAAGAAAAAGAAGGAAAGTGCTGGAAATAGTAAAAAGGCTTTTATTAAATTAGAAATACATGGTGCTATCATACATACATCTCTCTTGCATTCGTTTCCCTTGCCATGTGGTAGTTTGAATGTTATTGAGTATTTTGTATAACAGATATGACACACTGAAATCCTAACACTAAGACTTCTATTTATACTAATTCGACCCTAACGGTCTCGCTACAAGATCATGCCACGTTTCGAACATGCAAGACAATGCTCCTTTCATCTTTCCACGTGTCCTCAAATGCTCCAACACATAACTTTCAAACTTTGAAAGTCCCGCTTTCATTTAAATTTCAAATGCTTTGGTGTTTCTCTGCTTCGAACGCTCTTCTCAGACTTAGCTTCGCTGCTGTTTCGAGATCCCTTTGGATACGCTCCCAAGATCACCGTTCGAAGCTTCAAGCTTTGACACACTCATTCGAAACACTGCTTCTGCAATTTCGAAGCGTGGTGTTTTAATTCTATTTCGATCAGAACTTCTAGCTCTTTTTGAATTCTAAATAACATTATCAAAATCTTCAGCCAACAAATTGCCCCTTTAAAATATGTATTTCGATCTCTCTGAGAAATACCTATTTTAAACATTTATACAAGATTTTGATAGGATCTTCGAATCATCATAGCATTTAATGCGTTTGACCCTAGTCACATCAATCATAGCACCCTTTGGGTACCTTAACCGCCCAAAGTCACTTCACAGCATGGTGCAGTTATAAGTAATGATTGTTTTTAAAATCACGCCTATTACCTATATCAACTTCTCGCCACCTCTTCATCACACCAATCCATGATCTCCACGTATCATACTTTCACTCGGTGGATGTTTCATCTTCTTATTATAAAACGTCAATTTAACCTTCCTTTTTCCTTCTTTACACTCTAAACCTTTCAAACTCTGGAATTTTACTCTTCTACTCTCATAAACGCTCTAAGCTCTCAAACAACAAAAATGTCTTCTTCCACATCATCTCAACTCAAGAAAGTCTCCAAGAAGAAGGGAAAAACTACAGGAACAACTATGGAGAGTAAAATCGTCACCATTCAAGGCCAATCTGCTCTTGCTCCTCAAATGATTTCCAAAGAAAAAGAAATGCTGTACGCATCACAGGTACTCATCCCTACCCATGTTGCTGGTAAGAGGTTAGCCTTAAATGGCCCTCTTACAGTTTTGGAAATACTAAAGGACACCAGGACCATTTTTCCCGTGTGTTATAACTTCAAACCTTTATTCAACAAAATGGATGCCCCTAGGGCAGTAGAAATTCTTAATCCGAATACCACAGAAACCTCAACTGTTCATCCCAAGGACCCATTTATCTTGGATTATGTAAAAAGCAATTTTAAACCATTCCGATCTTGCCCTACTGCTGATGTTGCTTATCAAAACTGGTTTACGAAAGTAGAAGCCAAAAAATCCCAGCAATGGGAAGAACTAGGCATTTATAACCTTATTAAGCTGTCGAAACCTGGATTTACCTATAGTCATCCTCTGCTATTTGCGTCCCTCTATTTCTGGGATAGTACCTACAACACTTTCCATCTTCCAGGTGGAATGATCACCCCAACCTTCTTCGATATAGCAGCCATTACTGGGCTGTCGCCAGTGGGGGAAACTTATGTTCCTGACAATGAAGAGCACTCAAGCATAATTGACTTCGAAGTCAAGTTAGCCAGCTTCTCCAAATTTATCGGCCATTATCATGCTGAAGGGGATAATGTGTCTGACACAGAACACATTGCTTTCTTAACTCTGTGGCTGTCTAGGTACGTTTTCTGCAGTAGATCCCTGCAGGTAGCTAGTAGGTTCATTCCTTTAGCTAGGGATTTACATGAAAATCGCAAAGTGTGCCTAAGCGAATTACTCTTAGTTGACCTCTATGAGAGCCTGAGGTCAGCTGTTTCGAGCCTCAAATCCCACACTTCCAAAAACATTCTTTTAGCTGGCCCATTTTGGTTACTTCAATTATGGCTCAACGCCATGTTCGAACCTTCTTTATCAACTGCCAACACCATAGACGAACAAGATGCAGAAATAAGTGATAGGATAGTCGAAGGCACTAGGCTTCGAAGACTAACCCCTAATGATGACAAGGATGACTTCAAGGTTCAATTTTCGAAGTACATCTTGATACTCTCAAAAAGACACAAGTTCGAAGAGAGCATGGCGCCCTTTGCTTCGAGGGCTCATGGACCTTCTTGGTTCACCATGGCTCTCTCAGAAGCCATCAAGAGTAAGGAAATCCAAGATGTGTGGAGAGCTTTCTTGCTTCCTAGACTTATCTCTTCAAGGATAACCCCAGCTAAGAACCAAATTCTTCTCTTTGCCTACCAACCAAACTTCGTTTCGAGGCAGTTTGGCCTATGCCAACTGATTCCTGAACCTTTGTTCCAGACTGAGAGCGCCATCACATCTGGTCGAACTTTCAAGGCAAGGGAAGCCAAGATCCAACAAGAACAATATCAGGGCTTTGCCCAATTTGAACTGATAGCCTTCGAACCTACTCATCTCGCGGCCAAAGGATTTCTGGAGTGGTGGATTAAGTTTTATCAAACTTGTATGTTCGATACACTTACTATTCGACAGAAACTAATTGATGCCTTCGATGTGCAGGTACCAGCAAAGAAAGGTATGTTTACTCATGCCAAAGAAATAAAAGCTT